ACATTACATTAAATGTGATTAACTTAACTTTCCCCATATTACTGGAAACTATATTTGCAGAATATCATCTTAAAGGTCACTCTCATGTATTAGTCTTTGATTCTATACCAGTGGGTCCAAATTTTTTAAGTTTATATATCTTTTATGTAACTCACGAAGTTACAGACATTCTGGGGATAGAAAAATTAGGAAGTATATAGAATAATTTTGAATACAATTGTGGCCCCTTCTGAGCACCAAAATAGAGTCAAACTGCCCTAAGTTAAGGATCCCTATTCTAGGACATCTGCAAATCTGGCTTTTAAAAATTCACTACAAGTGCCCATCATGATTAACTCATTTTTATTGCTCTTGATTTATAGAAAATTTATGGGGAATACTTAGAATCTTCACATAACAGCTTTTTTTTTTTATTTTGAGGATAAAGACTTATAAAGTGCCAGACCCATATTGTAAAGTTCTCTAGAGCTTATAAAGTTCTCTAGAGCTATGTCCATATTAATGTATCTAACCCTCATAAAAACCCTAAAGCATTGATATAATTACTGTCTACATTTTACAATAAGGAACTGTAAAACAGAAAAATTAGTAACTGTCTACAACTCTTGTAGCTGGTGTGAACAAGGAACTGAATTTAAAATTTTATTTTAATTAATTTTTATGCAAATATAAAAGCATTATCAATGTTTTCCTATTCGACACAACTTTATTGTTTTAATAGGGCTATATTTCACCTTAACCACTGAAAATTTATCATCCAAATTGATAAGTGCAATAATAGTAAAATGTGTACCAGATTTTGAAAACTTAGTATGAAAATAAGAGTGTGAAATATTTCAATTTATTTATACTATTACATGTTGAAATAATATTTTGGATATATTGGTTTAAATAAAATACACTATCAAAATTAATTTCAGCTGTTTCTTTTCCTTTTTAAAATGTGTTTAATAGAAATTTTAAAATTACATAAGTGGCTCACACTATATTTGCATTAGACTGTGCTGCTTTAGACTCACATATCACTATACCAGGCTGCCTCTCACAATATACACCAATATGTGGTCTGAAACAAAGTCACACTGTCAAATCTCAAACAA